CAGGACTGAGTTCAGTGGTCACTGGCTCTGGCTGCAGGTCTTATTCCTGAGCGTCCGACCGCAGCTCAACGTAAATAATTTAAAACCCCGGGAAGCCGGGGGGACCCCCTCCACTTGCTCTCTCAGCCCCACCAGCCTGGGTGCTCGACACACCGCTCCCGCTCCCTGCTGCGGGCCGAGGAGCACCTCCTTTCTATGTAAAACTTTTTTGTTTTTTAGAGAGAGAGGAAGGGAGAGGGAGAGAGACAGCAACTTTGATGTGCGAACAAAACTTCCATCAGCCGCCTCCTGCACGCCCCCCACTGGGGATTGGGCTCGCAACCTGGGCGTGTGCCCTGGCCAGGAATCGAACCAGAGACCTCTCGGTGCCGGGAGGACACTCAGCCAACGGAGCCACATCAGCCAGGGTCTGAGCCTCTTAAAAAAATGAGAAAACCTTAAAAGGTAAATCAGATCACACCACTGCCCTGCCCGGCCTCGCAGTGACTTCTCCCTGCCCCAGGGAGGAAGCCCTGCTCCTGCAGTGCCGACGGGGCTCTGCGTCCTCGGGCTCCCCCGTCTCTCCAGCGGCACTAGCCCCCACATTCTGATCCAGCCCCCACAACCCACTGGGCTCCTGTGGGCCATGCCTCCCCCTTCAGAGCCCTGGGTCAACAACCCCTCTGCCCAGTTCCACACCCTTCTGTGATCTCCCAGGCTCGCTACACCCCTCTTCCTTTCGGTCCTCGCTGACACGTCACCTCCACACAGAGGTCCTCCCCAAACCCCCAGCGAGAGCCGGGTCCCCCAGCCGATGTCTGGCTCCTTTTCACCTCTGCACGTACTGGTTTTCAACCCTCTTCCCCTCTAGAGAGGAAGTTCTATGAGGGCAAGAACCGGTCGGTCATGTTCAAGATCGGAACCCAGCCTTTGGGGTTCTGAGCTCCGGGAGCGGAGCGGCTGCAGGCCCCGCTGTGCTCCCACAGGAGAGGCTCAGCTCCGCCCCTCTCGTTTCAACAGAAACCCTTCTGCAAACAAGAAAGGAAGCCGGGAATGTAATTTTGAACGCCACTGCTGCTTTTCCTCCCGTCTAGGAAGTGATATTCACCATGACGCTAAAGACTTCTCCCCAAAAGTGTTCCAATTACTGACGTTGTTTTCTGACCCCCACGATCGTGGCAGACTCCGCTCTCCTCCCCTTGGGTCCCAGTGCTCCGAGAAGCTCCTTCAGGGAAGGACTCAACCGAGTGTGAAACTCCCACACAGATTCCCGGACACCGCTCTTGCCAAAGAGGAATGTCCAACACGGGTTTACTGTTAGCGACCCAAAGACCAGAGCACACGCTCACACATGCTCACGGACGTGCGGTCATTACTGCTACGGCCCGTAAGGCAACTCCCTCGACCACGGCGGTGACGTGCAACCCGAGTCACGACGCGCGTGTTCCAAAGAACTCCGCTCACCCCTAGTGTTTTCGGGCCTGGGGGTCCAACTTGTCAGGGATGGCAGCCGGTTAAAATGTTCAGAGTTTGGATTCCGGAACGTCTTGATAGAGAATAGACAAGGTATGTCAGGGGAGGTACTTCCCCCTGTCCTTCATCTGCTTCTTTCTGAATCCGGGAGATTTTTTTTTTTATCCTCACCCGAGGACATTTTTCCATTTTTTGTTCAGATAGAGCAGGAGGAAGAGAGAGGAAGAGAGAGAGAGAGAAACATCGACGTGAAGGGACACATCGAGTGGCTGCCACCCGCACGACCAATCAGGGCCAGGGACAAACTGCAACCGAAGTTCGTGCCCTTAGCGGGAACTGAACCCAGGTCTCTCCGGACCGCAGGCCGACGCTCTAACCGCTGAGCCAAACTGGCCAGGGCTGAATCTGGGAGATTTTAATGTCATTAAAGCAGTCACCTTTGGGACTAACACTGAAATCACATTTTCAACATTTGCCACTCACGCCCGAATCAGTCGTCGGGGAGGTCAGGAGGAAGGCTGGTGTTTGGACATGGGCCAGTCTGAGAGGGGCCGACCCCACAGAACTGTGGGCGGGCAGCGGACCGGCCCTTCCGTGGTACTCACACACTTTCCAACACAAGCAGGATTCGGAAAGAGACCTCTCTCTTCAATAGTCCCAACGCCCCGTGAGCGAAACAATGACCACCGTGCCACTATGTATTTGTGGGAGTGATTTATAATTTACAAACACACATGATCTCATTTAATCCACCCCCCCACTCTCGTGGGGACCCTGCGAGGTAAGACAACGGTCACGTTGAGATGACACTGGAGATGGAAAACAGCCGGAAGGTGTTCCGCGGGCGATGGATGACCGAGGGCCCACTGGGCGGCTTGACCTCCCCCGCACTGTGGGCTTTGGTGATTAATTCACCCACTTGCTGAGGAAGTTTCCTTCCATTCTGAGAAAATTAAAAACACCACTCTGGACGGGAATGCGGGATCATAAATGAGAACCAAAGAGAGTAGATTTACGCAAAAGCACAAGCCCAGTCAAGAGAAAGCTTAGAAATAGCTAATACGGTCTAAATCAAGTAAAGGCTATTAGCAAACCCCTGGTAAGAAAAAAAAAAAGCCTTTTAAGTGATGTGCTGAGCTCTTACCAATACCATGCTACCTGTGGTTTTCCACCGTCTCCAGGGTAACGGGTTCACGTCTATAAACATTGCCATGAGCACTTTCCTGTCTGAAGGGCTGGTCCCACTGTCCTAGACATACCGGAAGGAAGGCCTTCTGTTCTCTGAGCTCCAGAATCACACACTTCAGAACTGCGGGGTCTTCTCACCTGTCACTTCCCCAAAACGACATGCACAGGGGTCGAAAATCTCTGTTCATATGTGAACACACCAGTAGGAAGACGTGTGGGTGGATAGATGGACGGAATCATGAATGGATGGATGGATGGAAGGAAGGAAGGAAGGAAGCCAGGGAGAAAGGAAAGACGGACTCATCTAAATCACGAGGCACCGAAGGGCCGGAGGGCTACTCATCCACCGGCATCACTAAAGACGTTTGGTGTCGGACCTGGGCAACCAGCTGTCTTCAATCCCGTCCAGTATTTCCAGTCTAGATGTCCCTGCCTTCCGTCTGTCTTTCATCAAGAGTCCAAAAACATTAACAATCCTGATTAACAGCACAACCGTTCTGGCCACTGGGAAGCCCTTGAGCACTGTGGGTTCGAGGAGCCAACATGCTCCCCACCCTTTGAACAGTCGAAGGTCCATGTGTAACTTTTGACTCCCCTAAATAGTTCAGCTGTCCCTCAGTATCCATGAGGGACTGGTTCCAGGACCCACCCTCTCCCCGCAGACACCCAAACCTGTGGGTGCTCGAGTCCCTTCGGTGAAACGGCACAGGACCAGGCACACAGCCAGCCTTCCCCACCCACGGATCCCCAGCCTCGGACGGAGAATACGGTTTCCTTGCCGTTGGTCGAATCGGCGGACGCAAAGCCCAGGGAAGCCAACGGCCGACTGTCTATTTGTCGAAAAAGGTCTGCACAGGGGTGACCGGCGCAGTTCAGACCCACACGATCGCCCAATGCGCCTGCGCCGATTCGGTATCTGGGGAATTCAACAGCGTGAACCTGCCTCTGCAGCTACGTTGAGCTCACCGAGGACGAGGAAGCACAAAGCTGGCGCTGTCGCCCGGGCTTCCCGCCCACCTCCCTCGGCCACGCCGCCGCCGGCCGGTGGTGCTGGCTCCTGGGCTGGGGGGATGCTACAGACAGAAACCGCCCACAGGCGCTGCCAACCTCACACCCTAAGAAGGAATTCATTCTTTGCCCCAGTGCCCAGCCCACCGTGATTCTGCCTCTGCCCGGACACGCTCCATGACGAGGAGACTGTTTTTCAGGGTGGCCTGCCTGCCTCTGGGGACCTCCCCTCTAGAGGTCGCCATACTTCACGTGCTGTTGGCCTTGGCCTGAGAGGCTCAGCTTCTTGGCCTCTGTCTTGGAGACGCAGAGAGCAGTTTCCCCCACCAGGCCTGGTGCCCGCCTCGAACGGAGCATCGGGCAAGGCGGGGGTCAAGGCAGTGATGGACGGAAGGAGCGGCCGGCTGGGAGCACGTGCTCGGCACAGCCCACGGCCAGCGTGAGCCGGGCAGGCTGCTCTGTCCCAGGGCACGCGTGCCCCACAAGCCATCGGACAGGGGCTCACAGCCACACCCTCTAACCACCGTCCCTCTCCTGGGACCTGGAAACTTCTGCAGCAGGAGTCCCCTCACACCATGACTGCCCCCCGCCAGCACGTCTTCACGGAGGCCAGTGTTCGGGCTGCCAGTCCGCAAAGCGAACCCAGACAGCGGCCCGGGCCCGGGACGTGCGGGAAGCCGCGTGGGGGAGGTCCCAGGCATGAACAGGACGGCGGCCTTGAGGAAGGACCCCCCCTCACTGACTCCCCAGGAGCGCCGGTCTCGACGGGGAGGGTCCCCGAGGCCCAAGCAGGGAACCTGGAAGGTCTCAGGGTGGGTCTATTCCCGCCTCCCCGAGCACTCGGCAATGACACCACTGTCCCCTCTTCTGGGCCAACCACGTCCGGACTTCAGGGAGGCAGGAAGTGGAGTGACATCCTTCACGAGACAGATGGCACTCCATGTAGCCCCCTGAGGTCTGATACGGTGACGTCGTCTCAGAGGGGAGACATTACAAGTCCCCAAGCCACCAACCCCTTCAAATACACCCCAGGGCCAGCCCCAGGGAGCAAGCACTTCGCACCCGCCCCTCTGGAGGGCAGGCCCAGTGGCCTCACCGCCTGCCCAGCGGGGTACCGGGCGCTCAGACCCGCAGACGGGCTGCAGGCTCCCTCAACCCCCCGGGACTGCAGGGCCTGGGACTTCTACGCCACGGCAGCACCCCAGCCCCTCAGGAAGGGCCCACGACCTCTCAGAGGAGCGCGCTCCACTCTCGCTCCTCGGGAGGGGGTTCTTTCTGGAAGCTTCCATGGCCCGTGCCCGGCCGCTTCCCGCTGCGTGCTCCCCGAGGCAGCTGGAGGCGGCGGTACTTGCCCGGTGGAAGGGTTCATGATACAGCCTCCCTTGTCGGCGGCCTTCCGGCAGCTGCACCCCCTCTCCAGGGTGTCATGGCTCATCCCGAAGTTGTGGCCCAGCTCATGCGCCAGCGTCACGGCGGCACCCAGGGGGCTGTCTGCGTGGTCCTCCAAGAAAACACGAGAGCACAGGTGTAGTTCACGCCTCGCGGCCCAGTTCCCACGTCCCCTCCTCCCAGACGCGTCCTCTTCCCCAGCATCTGACTGGACCCGTCCCCCTGGGATGGGTGGGGAGCGTCCGGCCCGCGGGCCGGGTGAGGCCGTGAAGTCAATGCCACCAACATCCCAGCCTCACCCAATGAGCCCGACCCAACGGAGCAGGCTGATGCTTAAGCTGATCACTCTGTCTGGCCCGCAAATGACGTTATCAAGACCCCAGTGGCCCTTGGCAGAGAAAGGCTCCCCACCCCTGCCCTAGAAGGAACCAGTAGAAAGGTACATTCCTGCGTTAAAACTTAAAGAGGGCCCTGGCCGGTTTGGCTCAGCGGTTAGAGCGTCGGACTGCGGTCCTGAGAAACCCGGGTTCAGTTCCCGCTAAGGGCACGTGCCTCGGTTGCAGTTTGTCCCCGGCCCTGGTTGGTCGTGTGGGTGGCAGCCACTCGATGTGTTCCTTTCACATCGATGTTTCTCTCTCTCTCTCTGTTCCTCTCTCTCCCTCCCACTCTATCTGAACAAAAAATGGAAAAGTGTCCTCGGATGAGGATAAAAAAACAAACAAACAAACAAAAAACTTAAAGAGGATTTGACATCTCTGGTTACACCTGTCTGGGGTCCCCTCTGCTGAGGGACGTCCAGCTCGTGTACACGCGGGATTCCTATGTCTGTACACGAGATGGTCAAGGTGACCTTCTCCGCCCGCTTCTTAAACCTTCCCGGGAACGTCCGCACTGGCTGAGCCCAGCACGGTCCCTCACCACACTCCATCCCTTCCTTCCTGGGTAGTAAAAGTGCCATGTCATCCGTGACGGAGACTCTGGGATGCAGAGCTGGTTAGGGAAAACATACCCTGACATCCTACATGCGACCTGGGCACCATTACCAACATAAGACAGGTGCTCCCGTCTGTCCGGGAGAAGGACACTGGGAAATCCACAATAATGCACAATACACCCCATCACATCGAGTGACCTGTTTGAAGACTCACTGAATTACGATGGTCACCCGGTGGGGCCTCACTCGCGTGGGCCCTTTTTGTCAGGTGGACTATGGGCCCGGGTGCAGGAGGTGTCCCAATCCTCTGACTTGGGTTGCTGGCGTTCCCGCAACCTTTTGCTTAGTTTCGGGAGGCAGTTTCTCCACTCAGTCAGCTCTGCTGGCCCCCCTAACCTGGTGGAGAGCATGAACGGCTTGGCTGAATAGATACTAAAACTAACTACAAAACATCGCTACTGAAAAGTAGCTCGATAGTGGATGGACCTGCAGAAGTGCCCAAGAATGGTGTCGCTGCAATGAAGTCAGGCTCTGGGCGGCCCGGCTCCGGGTGAGTTTCCCAAGAGGCTCCCAGGACAGCAGGACCGTGTTTCAGAGAGAGCCTGGTCCCCACACGGACAGTCTTTGTGGGGCCTCTCGAGAAAGGTGCGTTCACATCCGATCCTCTAGGTGTGTTCGTGGGCACAGCTGTTACTCGCCCTTAGTTGAAGGAAAGGGTGGCTTCTTAGGGAACCAGGTTATTCTTAGAGGAGACGGGATTCCTAATAAATGACTGGGTTTGGATTTTACAGTTTCCTGTTGTAGGAAGCTTCACAAATATGTTTCAGGAAGTCAATGCTCAAGAATAATACACGTTGGCGAAGAGAATGCAGTCGAGCCCGGCAAGGGAAGGGCTGAATTTAGCACGCTTTGGCTCAAAATGCGAGGACTTCATCCTTAAAAAACGACTCTACATCTGATGCGTCTGTACCACTGAATACCCCGCTCCGACTGCCGAGCCGTTTTACATTCTTTCACGCACAGGTGATTATAAGCAGAATGTCGCTTCAGAGACTCTGATAAACAGTTTACATTTGTAACAAGGGAAGAAAAAACCACCTCTTCGTTCATGGCATCATCCCAGAACCGCGATCGTTTGAGTCCGGTGTGATACAAGAGCGTAGCTCGAAGCTTCCCACATTCACGATCGCTCTGTCCTGAGAAAACAGACGGAACCAGGACTCCACTTTTCAGGGGGACCAGGGACTGCCTCCTTGCCTTCCTCTGGCATTTGTGTGTTTTTGGACGAGGCACCGCTGTGCGTGACGCCGTGGATTGCAGTCCAGAGATGCTGGGGGGAAGTCTAGAAGTTTCAGCTCTGGCCGAGCTGTTATCTTGCTCATCTCCGGAACGTTACAGAAATGAAAGGAGCCGCAGCCTCTTTCTACTCCACGCCTCTTCCATGTGGAGTGAGCAGGAATGTGTTCGAGGCTGAGCTCGACTGGGGCCTCGTCGGCCCAACGCATTTCCTGTTGATTCACTGTGGCCTTGAGGATTCTCTCGGCAGCCTACACATTTGCTTATGTATCTCACATGCGTTTTCATCCATTAAAAAAAAAAAAGATAATGGGAGCCGACCCTGTCTGCCCTTGCTGAGGGGCTCGTGGTGAATGCTCGTGTGGAAGCAGAACGGGGCGCAGGAGCCGGGGAAAGCCATCTCCTGGGGTCGGCTCAGGCCTGAAACGGGGCACCGCGCGGCGGCAGGCCCTGCCAGGCTCACGGGGAATTCCCTTTCGGCTTTAAAGAATGTCGACACCGATCTGAAGTGGCACAGTCAGTTAGCAACCGACCGTGGAACCACGAAACAGGAAATGATTCCCTCTGAACACTGTACAGGCCCCTCTGTGAACGTACGGCTGGGAGCAGACTTGAAATGAACCTGGCTCCAACCACAACCGAACTTCCCGGTGACTTCCCGGGTGTAGATCCCAGGCAGGGCCTCCAGGGCCAGGAAAAGCCAGAGGGGAGCCCGTCCCAGCCAGACACCCAGTGAGTGGGTGCACCCTCCAAACAGCCTCCCGGTGGGCACGAGCCTCCACCAACGGCCGGAGAGGAGGGAAACCTCCCGGGGTGAGGAGATGGGGGCGGGCAGTGTGTGGAGAGAAAGTCACAGTCAGCAGAACACACCTCCTTCCGCCCTCTAACACAATGGAATATTCACAAACGTTCTGTTTGGAAAATGCGGAGGAATTCCCGGTCTCTGGGAAGGACAAGGTTCTGTTTGTGCAGTGGAGATGGTGGGACGGTCTCCAAGGACACCCTCTGTCTGAGGGCTGGCGCACAGCAGGGGCCGCGTCGGCCCTCGGCCAACCCTTCCCTTCGATGATCGGACGGGCCAGGGCAGGGTCCCCTGCTGGGCAGCCTATCAAAGCTGCCCCCCTCTTAAATTCATAAGAAACAAGTCCCAAATATTCCTCCTGTTTTATTTCCTTTTACAAACATACATAGCCCATGTATGACAAAATGATTCTTGTAAAGTAATAAACCCAGGTCTCTGCCTTCCAAGAATAAGGCTGTTCCACAGACGGATTGGACACTGGGTAGGAGGTATGTCAGGCATTTGCGGTGGTAAATAGTTAGAAACCTCAGACTTCTGGCTGTTGGGTCTGGAGGCAGAACCATTAGAAAACCATTCTAACCGTTATGTTCGGTGAGACCACAGGCCATCCAAGAAGCTGAGGGCTCAGGGCAACCCCAGAGCCCTGGCTCATCCCAGCCCTGGGAGGGAATTCCTGGACTGGAACGCTCTGACCAAAATCCCAGTTGAAACTTTTTCTCCATAAATGGGGAAGACCGGCCTGCACTGAGCTACTTTACACGCTCACCTTTCCTGTCTGCAAAGCGGTGTGTCTTAGAAGCAGTCCCTACAATACTGTGGACTATGTGAGGTCACACACAGAGCTAGAAGGCAGAATGGGATCTAAAAAAAGCATGGATGAAAATAGCTTGATTTCACAGAGTCTGGGGAACACAGAGATTTCCTGGGAACTCAGCCAGGGGCACGGGGACCTCGCTGTCCCCACCACGGCGGTCCTGACTTACCATGACGATGCCCCCTGACTGCTCCGCGGTGCACATGCTCATGATGGGCGCCATGCCGATGGTGGTCCCTTGGAAATAAACCCCACTAGGAAATAAAAGAAAGGACTTTCTTAAACTAATGTAGAATGAAGACATTTCCTAACATATTTTGGGGGGCTTTTGAACCTTCAATGAGAAAAAAATATATCGAGGTCAAGAACACTGTGTGTGTGGCCTGTAGCTGGGTCAAGGGCAGGATATACATAAGCAAAGATGCACAGTCACAGAACAACCTGCCTTCCCACCAGGGCCGCAGAGACCCACGCACAGGACAGAACAGCTGCGTGAGGGCGGGTCCCAGGGCGCGTTTATCTCCAGATCCCTAGCAGCTCACTTTCCAGTTGCATCACGGTCCCATCATCCCTTCAGACTGTTGTTGCGAAGACTCGGACCACCAGTCCTGACTCTTACATGCATCAGTTGTATTCTGCCTACTTCCGAACGGACTGGGCAGCCGCTCCTTCTAAACAAGGTCTGCGGAGGGGAGGGCCGAGAACAGGCAGAGTCGCTGCTCATTCAGTGAAATGTGTTGGGTGGATTCCTCGAGTTTCTGTTGCAGCTGAATTTTGCTCTCCCGTGTTACATGCAAATTAGGATGGACACCCAAGCTCTGCCCTGATGGTCTGCTAATGGAGCTTGTAAAAGTGAAATCGGGCCCTGGCCCGTTTGACTTGGTGGTAGGGCGTCAGCCTGCAGACCGATGAGTCGCGGGTTTCATTCTGGTCAAGAGCACATACCTGGTGGCGTTGGTCCCCGGCCCTGGTCAGGTGGTGCAGGAGGCAACCAGTCGATGTGGCTCTATTATGTCAACCCCTCCGTCTCTTCCTCCCTCCCACTCTATCTGATAATAAGTAGAAAAATATCCTCAGGTGAAGAATAAAAATAAAAAAGAAATGGGCAGAAAAGTGGTCGATCCCTGGAGTCAGTGTAGAAGCAGCACCCACAAAGCCTCAGCACCCTGGGCGGAAGCTTCTGGAAGGGGATCTTATGGCTCAGGTGCAACTTTCCCTTGTAAGGAACTTGACCAATGAGTCTAATGACATCAAGGCCTGGTGAATGCCAGAGCTTTTTTTATTTTTTTCCTCACCCGAGGACATTTTTCCATTTTTTGTTCAGATAGAGTGGGAGGGAGAGAGAGGAAGAGAGAGAGAGAGAGAAACATCAATGTGAAAGGGACACATCGAGTGGCTGCCACCCGCACGACCAACCAGGGCCGGGGACAAACTGCAACCGAGGTACATGCCCTTAGCGGGAACCGAACCCGGGTCTCTCTGGACCGCAGGCCGACACTCCAACCGCTGAGCCAAACCGGCCAGGGCCAGAGCTTTTAATTCCAACCTCGTATATTAAAAACTAAACATTGTATTTCTTGAATCTCTTTTAAGAGAAACAAATGGTCTAAAGATGAAAAAAAGTTCTAAAGATAAAATCTCTCTCTCTCTTTTTTAAAATCCTCACCTGAGGATACTTTTTTCCCCCATTTATCATCCGATAGAGTGGGGGGAGGGCGGACAGAGACAGAGACAGAGACATTGATGTGAGAGAGACACACTGATTGGGGGGCCGGGGACTGAACTGCTGCCGAGGTACGTGCCTTTGACCGGAATCAAACCGGCAATTCTTTGGTCTGCAGGCTGATGCTCTAACCACTGACCCAAATTGTCCAGGGCAAGAGAAAAATCTCTTTTAAGGGAAACAAGAAAACTCCATGTTATCTTGGCTATGTACATACATTGACTTTACAGATATTATTTGAAAAGTTAGGTATTTTGGCAGTGGTCAACTGGACAAATTATATATGTATGTATATATATATGTATCCATCCATCCATCTGTATCATTACACTCTTATGGACTGTAGCAGGGATGGCAGCTTTTACATTTCTATCTATACAGACCATTTAACAGATACAATTATAGATGTATATAAATGAGAAGGTTATATAAGAGGCTAATTTATTTCCAGATGTTCGAGTTGGACAGGTTCCATTTGGGAAAAAAGCCAAAACAGAACACTTTGGTTCTACTTTTTAGCTGCTCAGGATTAATCAATGCACAAAATATGAGGCAACCACAAACATCCAAGGCAGAGAAAAAAACAACCCTGTGAAAATGGCCAAAGTAAATGATCAGGGACCGCCACCAGCCTCCGCCCGGATGTAGGCGTTTTCTAAAGTGAGGATGGGGTAGGACTGGCCAATGAATTAGATCTAATTTGCTAAAGAAAAGTGTCCACAACCCCAAAGCTTTTAATTCAATGATATGAACTACACGAGAAGAAAAGAATTATGTCCTAAACTGATTAAGGATTTTAATAAAAAGTTGGTCACTTGGGGAAAAATCTATTTCATAGCAATTTAGACTAGGATAAGAGTGTTTTGTTTTGTTTTTAATATAAAGGTGTCTGTGATGTCATACCCATGTGTTGCTACATTGTAGCTGTGTGTTGCCTCATTTATTACTTCACACACTCATCCCTCTGGCCTTGCCTTGTTTACTGTCACCTTCTCCCAGCGGACTGCCGACCCGGAGCTGGGAGGTGTACAGCGCTGGACACCACTGTGTCCCAGGCTTTAGAATGAGGACACTGGGATCCTAATTGGTGCTCAATACAATGTGATTGAAAGACAGAACCCAAGGTTAACGTCCTTCCTGCTGGTGGCCTCCAGTCTAGAAAACCAAAGACTATCATTGACACAGGAGGGGGAGCAAAATGTTCGTTCTCCAAGTGTCTGATGATAACCACCCAGATGCACTGTCTTTGGGTTGTGCACAAACTTTTCCCACTAATAATGAAAGAAAATGGGCTTTAAGCCCAGCCAGTGGGACTCAGTGGTTGAGTGTTGTCCCGTGCACCAAGAGGTTGCTGGTTCAATTCCCAGTCAGGGCACATGCCCAGGTTGTGGGCCTGATCCCCAGTGGGGGCCAGGCAGTCGATGCAGGAGGCGGCCAGTCGATGTTCTCTCTCATCGATGTTCTCTCTCATCGATGTTTCTCTCTCTCTCCCCCTATCCCTTCCTCTCTCTCTCAAATTGATAAAGGAAAAACAAATTAAAAAAAAGAAACAAAATGAGCTTTTAAAAACAGCCTACTCTGGCCCTGGACAGTTTGCCTCAGCAGTTAGAGCATCGGCCTGTGGACCAAGGAATCCCGGGTTTGATTCCAGTCAAGGGCATGTACCTCGGTTGCAGTTCATCCTGGCCCTGGACGGGCTTGTGCGAGAGGCAACCAGTCAATGTGTCTCTTTCACATCAATGTTTCTCTCCCTCCCTCCCTCCCTCCCTCCCTCCCTCCCTCCCTCCCTCCCTCCCTCTCTATCTGAAGATAAATAGAGAAAAATAAAACACCCTCAGTGAGGATTAAAAAATAACAAAAACCGCCCTGGCCAGTTTGGCTCAGCGGTTAGAGCGTCGGCCTGCGGTCTGGAGAGACCCGGGTTCGGTTCCCGCTAAGGGCACGTACTTCGGTTGCAGTTTGTCCCCGGCCCTGGTTGGTCGTGCGGGTGGCAGCCACTCGATGTGTCCCTTCACGTCGATGTTTCTCTCTCTCTCTCCCTTCCTCTCTCTCCCTCCCACTCTATCTGTACAAAAAATGGAAAAATATCCTCGGGTGAGGATAAAAAAACAAATAAACAAAGAAACAAAAAAAAACAAAAACCACAGCCTACTCTGGATAACTGTATATCAGATGAAGACTAGAAATAGCTGCATAGGGAGACTGTCCAGGTGACGAAGAAGGAATAAGTCATCAGCAGAAGAAGAGGTTTCCCAGGGCGACCAAAGGGAGACTTTCACCACAGACCCCCAATTCCAGTCAGGGTGGCCTCTGCCCCATGGAGGAAGGCTGAGAACCACCTGGTACAAGTCAGCGTGCCCAAGAAAGGGGTGCAGCTCCAGGACTGCATCTGTGGAGCTAGGAGGAGACTGGGGGTCACTCCTCCCTAAGCAAAGGAGAGACAACGGATGTCCTACCTGATAAGCTGCGCATTGTCGTGGGATTTGCGAGGTAGAAGCTTCATCTTCCTCCAGTCCAGAAACTCATGGAGGCTCGTGAACGGGTCCTGGCTGATGGGGCACCTGTCGACGTCATTCCAGACCTCCACGCCGACCAGCACTACCCGGATGTTCAGGGGCCTATAGAACTGGCGAAGACAGACACCCTTTGGGGTCACATTTGTGAGAACTTAAGATGAAGAGTAGAACAGATTTGCATACTTTTGGTTTTTGTTAATCCTCACCCAAGGATATTTTTCCATTGATTTTGTTTCTTTATTTTTTTAAAAATAGATTTTTATTGATTTTTTTAGAGAGAGAAGAAGGGAGATGGAGAGAGAGATAGAAACACTGATGAGAGAGAAGCATCGATCAGCTGCCTCCCACACCCCATCCTGGGGATCAAGCCCACAACCTGGGCATGTGCTGCCCTGAGTGGGAATCGAACTGGAGACCTCTCAGTGCATGGGATGATGCTCAATCCACTGAGCCACACCAGCCGGGCTCCATTGATTTTTAGGTAGAGTGGAAGGGAGGGAGGAAGAGAGAGAGAAAGAGAAACATTGATATGAGAGAGACACATTGATTGGCTGCCTCCCGCATGACCCCAACCGAGGCCAGGACCAAACCTACAACCCAGGTAAGTGCCCTTGACCAGGAATGAAAGCCATGACCCTATGGACCCTGGGTGGACGCTCTAACCACTGACCCCCACCAGCCCGGGCAGATTTGCGCATTTTAAATTTCATTGATGTGGGTGAGAAAAATTTCACCCTGTCCCCCGATTCCTGTGGTATCAGAATTTAAAAATTTCATGCTGTCTGATGCCAAGGGATGTGCTCACTGGGTCCTCAAATGCTGCTGGCCAATTAGATATTCCAGTTAGGAGCCTTTTTGGTGTCTTCCCTTATTTGCATGGAAGCACACGATCAGGCGATTGGCTGGTGATGTAAAGTCGCGGAGAGGCGGAGTCTCGCTAACATGGTTGCGCTTCGGCCCACGCCAGCAGTTCATGTCTATCGCGAGCAAAGCAACGAGGGAGTTGGGGTTTCCAGACACTGCCAAGGACAGTAATTTGTTCGTTTTAAGCAAAATGTTCTACCTATGAGTTACTGAAGATGAATCTGTATTAATTTTTTGGCAAAGTCTCAGACTTGGCTGACACTATCCTATTCTGTCACCTATAATCAATCTTGGAGGTTTTAATTAAATGAGAAAATCAGAAGCTTGCAGGATAATAAAGGCATAGCCAGGACTCTTCTTCTGGAAGTTGAATGACCATTCCTCTTCTCCTGGCCGGAGGGGGGCTCACCAAGGGGGCCATGGGAAAGATCTGTTATGAAGATGTCCCTCTTCCACAGGCTTGGGAACAGAGCTGAGGCACACAGCTCACTGCCTGTCTGTCCCCATCTCTATGTATTCATGGCTACAACCCAGCCCTTTCTCCACAGGCAGACCGTCCTGGCTCACAGGGAGGAAGGGCGACCTTCCAATGGTGAAGTGACGGCTCTGCCCCAGGCAAGCTTATCGGAGCAGGATGAAGGGTCAGAGAAGAGGTAAGAACTACCATTGCCCCCACTACCTGGCTGCCCACTGTGGGTCACAGAGACAGGAGGAGGCTCTGTCCTCAGGGCCGGGGGGCAGGGGTCGCCCGGCTGGTTGTGGAACCTTTCAGTGTTTACGAAGTGTCAGGCAGTGCGCAATGAGAAGTCCTCATCTTCCGATATTCCGATAGCCAAAGAGAACCATGTGGCTGGTGACAGCCGCCAAGGTCAAGCTCCAGATGGGAGCAGGTCCCGTTCATAGTTGCTAGAAGCATCCGGGCCAACAGGTACCCCACCGCAGAAGCTCCGCACTGGGCAGCGAAGCCCCATTCCCGTGCGGTGAGCTCAGGTACAGCACACTCCCGGCGGAGCATCTCACCCGGGGCTCTGATCACAGCCTCCAGGCTCGTCCTTCCCCTGGTCCTCCCGCTCGTCACCTGGGGAGCACCAGGTGAGCAGAGGTCAAACCTCGTCACGGAATAGCGACCGGCCGCCACCGTCCAACTTGGTTCCACGCAGACAACAATTACGATCCTTGTGTTAATAAGTTAATGAGACAATTTTACGACCAAAATGCTGCCCAGCGGCTTGTTTCCCATCGAAATCGCCTGGCAGCACCCCGCCGCGGCTTCCCGGGCCCAGCAGAGCTCCGGGGCTCCCGACCCTCTGCCCGCACGTGTCTGGCTGCTGTCTGATGGAAATCACTCTTGCAGCCATTTCATGGACAAAGGTAACAGTGATCAGAAGGCCGAGACGTCCGACGTCCGCACCAGCTTGCTTAGTGTGGGCTTCAGGGCTGTCACCTGTGAAGGGGACACTAATTGCCTCCGGCGGGTGTTGTACAGAAGTAGTAAGCAATCAAGGTCACAAAGGACTAGCTGTCATCGCTTCTCCGAGCTAGCTCCGGTGCCCACGACCACGGAGCTTTTCCTAATAGTGACGGGCATAATTCCCACCCACAGTCCTCTCCAATCACATCCTTAGAACAGACTCTATACTAAAGGACGTGCAGATAGATGGTCCCTCTGCTCCATCGGTGCTACTGAGAACCCTCATGAATGCTGAACTCACCGCAAGTCACCTCACACAATCCCTGTACCGCCTGCTGCGACTGTTCTCCCCGGGGCCTCGGAGCGCCTCCTCCTGGCTCTTCCTGATAATAGCAGCCGCAGCGGACTGGGCACTGGCACAGGGCTGGGAGATCTGTCCGCAGGACAACCCTCGGAGTTGAGAACCAGTATTGCTCCCACTTTACAGTCAAGGACATAGAGGGACCACGTACCCACTCAAGACATGACTGGCATGACTGGGGTTGGGCTGCAGGCTGGTCCTGGGGCCCGTTTTTAACCACTAACAGCCACCTTTAGGCGCGTGCTCGGGTTCTCTGCCAAGGTGACCCGCTGCGACTCCAGGCCCGAGGGGCTCGGCTGCCGCTTGGCAGCTGTCTGCCCCACCCGTGGAGCCCGAGTGCAGGTGCACATGGTCTGAGACCAGCTGGATGCCTTCGCCTGGGCACACGGCAGCACGCACATCTGCTCGGCCCCCGCTGCGCTAGGCGTGGCCCTGGCACAGAGAGGAAGCACCGGGGCGCCCTTGCCCTTGGCTCCCCGACGCTCAGAGGTCAGCAGGAAGCGCACGACCGTCATTACTGTCAACGCCAACAGAGCCAACGGCCGAGAGAGGGAGAACCCGGGAGCTCCGAGCCTGCTGGGGGACAGGACTCTGCAAACAAAACAGTGGGCAGAACGCAAGGGCAGTCTCCTGAGGCCCAGCACGAGGACGTGTGTCCCCGAGGCAGCTGCTGGGGGCAGGAGACAGCCACCTGAGGGAATGAGAGGCACCGGAGAGGAGACCAGGGGGTCACAGAGGTGCAGCCTTAAAGGATCCGCCGCTGGTGCGAACTTCTCCACGAAGAAGCAGTAGGGAGACAGGAGGTGAAAGGTTAAAGAGGCGACTGCAGACTCTTCATGTGGCAGGCCCCCCCCCCCCCTTAAATCAGGCCCCAGGGAATTCCTCTCTTCCCGCCTGAGACCTGAGCCTGCAAACACAAGCCTCAGGCTGCTTTCTGTGCTTGACTGACAGGGGATTTCTGGACTGTTTTAGGAACGTACCCTTGTCATCAGTCACTGGTGGGCCCTCTGTCCTCGTCCTCCCGTCCAGTGCCGCCCAGCAGTGGGCGATCAGAATGGCCGGGAAGAGCCAAGACGGGTGTCAAGGAGGACGTAGCCCCTGGGACAGTCATTGTTTATTTTGGACAGAGGATTGCAGAAGTGAAACGATCCCTCGCGGGTCGGGCTCATCCCTTAGCACACTGGGCTGCGGAGCACGCGGGGGGGGCCCGGGTACCCCGCCGGCGTCTGCAGGGTCCGCCGGGGCAGGCGCGCACGTGTGCCAAGCAGTTCGGTTCTCTCCTACCAGAACAGGACCCGCCAGGCGGGCAAGCCGCAGCCAGGCCGCCAGAAGGTTGCTGCGGCCTATCGCTCTTTAATCAGCGGTGCAGGTTACTAACAAACTCCCAGATGCTCATCTTCGGTTTTGCAGACTGAAGCAAGATAGAGCATAGAGTCAGGTGTACAGAAACACAGCACGGGAAGCTGGACACACCACTTTAAAAGGGATTCCAGGAATCGGCAGGCTTGGCTTAAGGTGGTCTGTGGCTTCCTTTCACGTCCAAGGGCTGACAAGACCACGGGGGGTGCGTCCTGAACCCCAAACGCACAGGGCTGCCCGTCTGGCCTTGCAGAGCAGAGTTCCAGTCTGGAAGGGCCTTTGCCTCTATTTTCCTGAAAACTTGGAAAACCTACTCATTCACACGTAACAGGATTGTTTGTAAACACAGCTACCGGGGGGGGGGGCACCCCCAAACTGCCATTCGCAGAGGGAGAATGTTTCGAGGAGCTCAGCTGTGAGGGCTCAGTGAGGAGCCAGGTGGCCTCCCTCTCACCCGTCTGCGCAGGCTGGTGACAGGTGACTGCTGAGAACCTGTGTTAGGGCAGTGGCCACAGTCAGGGAGCACGTGAGACCCTGGGAGACCCTGGTGCCGGGCGGCACCCGGACACCCAGGCTGCAGTGCCCCTCAAAGTGCGTGACGCCCCGTGGGGGCTCTGAGAGTAGACAGTCTCCCCAAATCCTTGGGAATAGGCAGCGTAAGGAACTTCCGTGGGCAAATGCCCCTGGTTAGACCAGACTCCCAGGATCTCTGCCAGCCCAGAATGCTCCTTTGTCACCTCCTGGTTCTGTGGGCGAGTTCCCACCTGCTGATTGGGCTGAAAAATCAATATCCATGTCCCCACACCGTGGAGCCCCTGTGCCCCTCGTAAATAGGAGGCCGCCCGCCGGCCCACGTTGGCACAGCGCTGGGCTGATGGGGGTGGTCTACGGGGGCCGGTGGGATCCTCCCAGGGACACTTAGGAAGAGGCTGGTTTGGGAGTTCTCAGAAGGGTGGGATGCACGCTGTCAGGGTTCAGGGTGTAACTGGAGGTCTGAGATGCCCGAGTCTAGGCTCTGCCTGGCCAGCAGAGAGCCAGGAGATGGTCCCCAGGCCACCGGGCCAGCAGAGAGCCAGGAGATGGTCCCCAGGCCACCGGGCCAGCAGAGAGCCAGGAGATGGTCCCCAGGCCACCGGGCCAGCAGAGAGCCAGGAGATGGTCCTCAGGCCACCGCGGTCCGGACCACGTGGGTTGGCGTCTCCCGTAGCTGCTCCAGGCCCGGGGGTTCCATGCTCAGAGGAAGGAAGCCCTCGGTCCAGCCCAGGACCAGGGGCTCAGTCACACGAGGTGCGCTTCATCCTTTCCGCTCATGTCTAAACATTCACACGATTCGAGTGGTTTAGTCACCCCCCAGAAGAACGTACCTTGTCCACGTGATTAGCGATCTCTATTAGCCTCTGCTTCACCTTTTCCACGTCTTTTCCTTGCCTCTGGAACTTAATGATTTTAAATGTCAGCATTAATAACTGCAAGCAGACCCATCAAAGCGCATCTTCCCGGGTCCTGGACTCTTGGGCTTTCCGAACACCCGGGACCCTCCCCAGTTTCCTGGGAAACAAGCGCTCATCCTGCCCGGGAATGTTCCCACCTGGGACTTCCTGGAACTCCCTGAAACTCGCCCAAGCCACGTGCTCACAGGCAGAAACTTCTGCCCCTTCCCAGCCTCAGAACGGATGGAGGCCGTCACAGTTTTGGCAAAAGAGAAAACAGACAACGAGGAGGCAGCCCAAAGCCATTTCTCATCTCATCAACGTGATTTTTTAAAAACTGAATTTATTGGGGTGACATTGGTTCAGAAAACCGGACTTGATTTTTACTTCCTTAGAAACTTCCTTTATATTTGTCTGAAAAAATGAAACAGTCAAATTCACAGATGCTCAATGGCAACAAGTCAAACAACCCAGAGGAGAAGGGTTACAAAGTGAATAAATCCCCTCCTGTCCCTCTACTCTGACCTCCCCCGGGGGGCCGTTTTCTGAGAAAATGTCAAGTCTGTTTTGCGTATGTGCATCTCTGAGGAAATGTCACCCAATTCATAATATGTAGCAGAGGCAGAACCGAACACAGAGAAGATACTCTCAAAACTTCTAATTAAAAATCAGTGGAAAGAAACAACGAATGTGACACCCAGCCCTGCTGCAGAAGGTGGGGTTTTGCTGCTGCGATTCTGCGGCTTTTCATTTATTAATTTTGGTTGAGGACATATCGGACATTTTTAAACTAAACTTTTCTCCAAAACGTTTCAGAATACATTCTAACGCCATCTGCCAAGTCCCCAAGTCCATCTCCCTGCTATGGAACTTAGCTATGGAGCAATTGTTTTGTTTTGTTTTTCCTTCTTCTTCTTCTTTTTTTTTTTTCAGTCCTTGGCTTTTATTTTGTAATATCAGATCCATTTTTAATATTGATACTTTATAATATGAGAAAGCCACTTTCCCCAAGGGTTGCTTACAATGCTTTTAAGTGCCCATAGAACATGAGGTTAATTAAAGCAAATAATAACTTGTCAAAGATTTTCTTTTCCCGGTTTTTTAAAACCAGCTGTCCCGAGACGTTTCAGGACGTTCTTACCTCTCGGTTGTCCGCGACAATGACTAGCTCCACGTACTTGGTCATCTTGAGGGTCTCTCTCTTGTGCTGCCAAAGTAAGGGGGGGCTGAAATCCCCGGAACGCCTCCTGGGCTCCCCGGCCTGTCCACCTCTCTCCACCCGAGCGCTTTAACTAGCAAGACTCCATCCTCCCAGCCACCGGCTCCCACACCTCCATTCCTTCCAGAGGTTCACCTCCGCCCCCTCGGCCTCCGTAGAACCTCATCAGGTCGAGTGGCCAGTCTGTTTGCCTGGGGACCCCTCGCAAAGGAACCCGCGGTCCAGAGAGTCGCGGGCACAGGGTCCGCGCAGGCCGTGCCGAAGCACCCCCAGGTCAGCAGCAGAGCGCCCCGGACCAGCGGCCCGCATGGTCCATTCCGGGCAGGTTGCTCCAGGAAATGATGGAACAGGGTCTCACAGTGTTGCCTTCGCCTTCATGGCCCAGATTTGTGATGTGAGAAAAGTGGAGGAGAATATAATTGAGCAGGAGTGCCTAACCCTCCTGGAGAAACGCGGAACCATCCACGCCAGCAAGCTTCCTTCCCATGGCCGCTCACGTCAAAGTGTGCAGGAGCCACGGAGGACGGGTGGTCGCGAGAGCCGGGAAAAGCCAGGCTGGTGAGCAGGGGACAGCCAGGCGAGAAAGAGGTCTTAGGAGGAAAATGAGAAAAGAACAAAAATGAAAAGAACAGGAAGAAACAGTGTCAAGGAAAAACATGCCACCGGAGAAAAGGGGTTCGTGGGAGTCAAAGAGTTGAGAAGGTGGAGACCTCATCCAGGGGCGACGATGGAGAAGGGCCAGGCAGCAGAAGCAGGAACCCCGGCACAAAGCAGCCTCGGAACTGGGTTACATTTGAATCAAGTCTCCTCAAAAAACCTCCGCACGCTTCATGAATGACTGGGAGAACCCCAAAGGCATTTTTAGGAGGAAAAGAGCCATTCATGGAGGGTGGTCTCAAAAAACAAACCATGAGAACACACAGTCAAAGCCTTCTGTTTCGGCAACAAAACGCCGCTGGAGGAAGTGGGGGGTGACCTGGTCATGGGCCCTGTGGCCGACACCTCTGCTTTATGAGTTAACAACACACGTGCCTTACGTCCGAACTGCACCTCGCACCCTCGCTTCCAGACAGAAGCAGAAACTGACCTCGGCGCGCTTTGACCCCTCTCCCCAGTCACTCAGTCCGGAGGGACACACCTCTTCCGAAACAAACCCCCTCAGTCTGGGATCTCGCGACCGGTTCTTACAAGGAGAATGTTTGCATCTCAGCCCTGCCCCCTCGCCGCCCAGACGTGTGATGGTGCATGTCGGCCACCCCGCAGGACTCTGGACACCTTCCGCAGGAAGAAGCAACTGAGCCCCGTGAAAGGCGTCATTTCTCAAACGTCTACAACGCCACAAAGTGTCCAGCGTGGGGAATGCGCGCCGTAGGTGTGTTTTATGGTGATAACTACGTATTTATGGGGGGAAGAGATTAGCCCCGGGATATCCACAGCTGTCCCTGAAACGAGACGCCTTCTCAAACCCTTTTCCCGACTGAGGTGTGGAAGTGGAAATCTCTTTTTCCCCTCAATTCCCTGATTAACTGTTAACAGCCTCAGCTAATTCCATAGAAGAAAGTCAAGTTCTAGAAATGAAAAAAAAAATAGATGACTCTCCATCTGAGCGACTCGTCGAAAGGACGCCGGCTGTGGAGACGTGGACCCCTTGGAGGCTGCACAGGGGTGAAATCAATGACCGGGACATATTTCCAAGCGGCCTTGAATCATCTTTGAGAAAATGCATAATTCAGATAATGAAAACAAACACATGAGCGCAATTTTCCTGTCTCTGCAGTTTTCAGAGAAGCCCAAATTGTCTCATGGATTCGGAGAATTGCAAGCTCAGAGAGACGCTAACCACATCATAATAAAACGCCCCGGGGGAGTGACCGGCTCCTGGCCACGGGCGTTTCTTCCATCGGCTGCACACTGGGAGGCTGAAATGACCTCCGTATGCTTCCTACCTACTAGTCTGTCCGGCTTTTTAAAAAAAATTTATATTTAAATTTTTTGATATGCAGAGCGACATTTGAAACTGGTTTCTTGATTAAATGTTCCCTTTTGAGGTTATAAACAAAAGCCCGTCTCCAAACGGGCAGGGACCTAAGCCCGAGCAGGCGTCTCTGCTTGAAGGTGGAGACCGAGGTGGTCTTTGACTCTTGCTCGAGAGGGAAACAATTCCTGAGCCTCTTAAGTGATCCCAGCCAAGTTCCCAGAGACAGAACGTCCCCCAAATGTGTTGCGACAAGAAGTCTGGCACTGGGAACTTAACGCAACCCGACTCGGTTGGAAAAGCACCATTGAGATTAGGGTGACAATCCATTCCTCTAGGAGCCAGACTCCTCGTATCTCATTCATTCATCCCACAGGTATGTGCCGCGAGCTCTCTGTGTGCTAGGCACTGTGCCGGGCGCTGGATGACAGGGCGGACAGGAAAGCCAAGGTACTGCCCTTACCAAGCTCCTTCTGAGGGGCTGGGGGAACAGGAAAGGAGGAACAGAAACCAAGCATAGTCTGTGCGAAGTACAACAGAGGAAGTAACCAGGGTTCTGTAGTTTGGATCCAGTGCGGGGAAGGGATGAAGCTGAGCCCTGAGGATGAGGAGCAGGTATGTGTGAAAGGGCGGTGGGAACAGTGTCGCAGAGAGATGGAACAGGAAAGCAGAAGTCCTGAGGCTGAAGGGAACTTGCAGCGTCGCAGCGATGGACGGGACATCTAGGGTCCAGCGAGCCAGCGAAGAGTGTGTGTGACCTGAGGCTGAAGACGTGGACAGGACGCAGGGCCATGGTCAGGAGGCTGAGCAGTAATCGAACCATGTAAGAGCCACAGGGAGTCCCTGAAGGTGAGGCTCTGATGGTATCACTCTGGCCGCTGGGAGGAGAATAAATTCCATTCAGCGGTTCTCAACCTGGGGGTCACGACCCCTTTGGGGGTCGAACGACCCTTTCACAGGGGTCGCCTAAGACATCACAGTAGCAAAATTACAGTGATGAAGTAGCAACGAAGATAATTTTATGGCTGGGGGTCGCCGCAACATGAGGACGTGGATTAAAGGGTCGCGGCTTCAGGAAGGTTGAGAACTGCTGCCCCAGAGGACGGTGAGCGCAGTGAGCACGGGTGAGAGCGTCCGCGCAGCCGCTGTGGAGACCAGCAAGCGGGTTCGAGCCAGCTGCGGGACCAAACAACAGAACAGTAACGAGGGAGCCGGGCTAGTTGTCCACAGGTGGCACAATCAGCGAATTAAACGGTGAAAAGTTTTTGTCCCGATGATCAGCAGGGAAAGATCATCGTTGGCTCAAGCGAGGCTCCGGGCCAACGGCCGCTTCACGGACATTTCTAAGCCGAGTCCTGGTCTCCAGGGCGGAAGGTCACCTCCACCATCCTTCCCAATGACTCGTGTGGGGATGACGCACCCTGACCGTGCCGACACGGGATCTGGCTTCTGAGGCCGGGCTAATACACAGGCTGCGGAACGGACCAGCACACAAGACGAGAAGCGGGCTGAATGGGCCGAATCTGACGAACTGAATGTCACAGGAACAGGCAAGTACCGACGTGGAGTCCAAATGCCACCAGCACCCGTGAGATCTGTTCCTTATTTATCCAGTTTTGATGGATTCAGTTCCCGGCAGGAACTCACACCTGCACATTTTGGAAGCTCAGCTCACACTGAGAGATGCTTCAGCCAGGGCCAAGGAAGTGACAGGACCTCTGGCTGTTCTCCACCCCCAGCTTGAAGAGCGGAAGCTCGCAGTGACGATGCTACATGCGGGGGCGTCCGCACACCTGCGCTCATCAGAGAGTCTTCTGATGCTCCCAGCCAGTTCCTGACGTTCATCCACCTCTAGACTCTGCATATAATGCACACGACTGTCACTCTGCCTACACCACCACACCTGGGGCTCCCGAGACAGAGGACAGCTTGTCCAGAAACTCGGAACCACAGCACCGGGCCACTTCAAGACGGCCGCCCTTGAGGAGACCTGATGATGTCACCCTGCACCCCGCAGCCAAAGCGAACACTGCTTTCTAGGAGAAGAAGACATTGGGCTTTGCATGTGACTCATCATGTGCCCCTAGGAGAGGAGGGGAAAATAGCACAGGTGACTCCTAAAGAAACGATGATACGAAAATAACGCACACTTGCCTTTGGGACAGTGTGTGTGATCTTCGCGAGCAGCAGATTGGCGGAGCCTCTGCCCTCCTGGGGCCAGAATGAGTTTGCGTTCTCGAGGGCATGGCTGGTGGGCAGGGAAGGGGCTCGTGGCCCGAGGGCTCCGTGGCCAGGGCTCTTCGGGCTGGACTCACGAACCCGCAGAGCAGAGAACGGACCGCGCAGCTCGGACTGCAGGCGCCCACTGGAAGCTAGTGGACGGCCTCGTAAAATCCACAAGCGTAGCTCGGCTTGCGGCACGACCAGTGCGTCCCCTGAGCCCTCGCTGCCTCCGGCTACTGCAGGAAAGCCTCGGTCTGCGAACCGATCGTCGCCACAGTTGCCGTGTCGTGGGGCAGGGAAAGGCTGGGCAGGGCCAGTGCCGCTGCTGCGTAGGGTACACAAGATCCGTGAGCGGCAGTTACGTTGGTTTCCGAGTGTAAAATACGGTTCCTGTAAGTGAGGCAGGTGAGCGCTGGAACTGAATGTGTCCCTGTCCTATTCACCGCAGGCGTCACCGCAGCCGCCACCCCAGCCGATCTGGTGCATCAGCCCCGTCCCGAACGCTCCACTCGCTGGAAATGACGCTTCGCGTCGTCTTCATTCTCTAATTGCACTTCAAGTCAAGGATGTTTTCTCTGCCATAAAAGCAGTGACAACTCTTTCTAGAGAGAAGCGTTGAGAACGCGTTGAACTGCCTCGGCTGCCTTCCCGTTTCAATTTAAAGGTTCATTTCCATTTCAGTCCGCGTTATTAGCAAAACAAGATTTTTATGCAGGTTTTCCGCATCCCCCCGCAAATCAGGATGACTGCAAATGACTGTGCCACTCACGGCTGAGAGCGGGGACTCGGTTACGTGTGGCTGGCAGGCGCGGCCCACACACACACTTCTCCATGCGATGCCACACACAGCTGAGTGTCATTTCAGCGCTTCGGCGGGAAATCTCGGAATGTGGACGAGGCTCCCAGCAGAGACCCTCGGCAGCAACAAGCGAGCCCTGCTCGTTCACGGCTGGGAGAGCCGGGCTCCATGGCCTCCCCCGGCTGTGGGTCAGGCCCAGAGGGGCTGGTCTTTGTGACTCTGTCACTCTGACAGTGGGTGGACCCTCTGGAGCGGCAGGTGGGGGGGGTGTGATGGAGGGAGTTTTGCAGCTCTGGGGTTCAGATGCAATCCCCCTACTGACGGAACGTGCAATGGGGAAGAAAAAGGAACAAGATTCTTTTCCTGCCATAGAACACCTTGGGGGCATATTAACACCCAGGAAGTCAGGGTCACCCGGTAGAACACCAGGGCGGCGGGGGCAGAGGCAGGGGCGGGGAGGAGAGGGTCAATGGGGAATCAAGGAGGGGCATCTGGAATACGTCCACATTAAACTCAGGTGGGAAGCCCCGAACTGGTTCGGGGGAGAGCCGGCGAGGGGAACGCCCACTCCCCACAGGTATGAGGGAAACCCCAAGAATGAGAAGAAATCGTTTAGGATGACCTCGAACTGAGTGTAGACAAATCAACCGGGATGGACAGAAGAATACAGCTGAGAGGCTGACAGTTAGGCGGCAGAGCGGCTGAGCCGGGAAAGACAACGTGCCACCGGCAGAACCCCGAGGAGCCTGTCCCAGCTGCCGTGTGAGAGACACCGCATCTACGGATTCCCGACTTCTCGTCGACAGCGCAACAGGAAAGCCACGACGAGAAATCGAGACGTTGTTGCTAATTTCCCATCTGGGCACACTCACTTAAACTCAGGGCCTCTAGACAGATGTGGGAACGGCCACCCCCCCTCCTCTTTAAGAGTTCCGTGTGGCCTGTGGCACCCAGGTGATACTGGGTGTAAAAGGGTCAGCAGGCCTTTGGGGTGGCGGGTCCCCTTGTTTCTGTCCACTTGGCTGGGAGAGAAATCTTTCCAGTTCTTCAGTTGAAGGCAAGACCTCTGAGAAGTGGACCCAGGGACAGATGACCAGAAACCCGCCAGCCGGCTGGGTGGACTGAGGAAGTGACACCCCGGAGCCACGCCGCACGGACAGACCCAGGGCCCCTCTGCACAGGCAGGTGGGCAGACTGGCAGGTTCTGCAGGTCATCATGAAGACCCAGTTGCAAAGCAGACGGGACACAAAGAAACCTCCCTGTCATGTCCTCCAGCAGGGGGGCCGCCTGGGACCGAGGGTCAGGGTCCCCTCGTGCCTTGTTTACCACAGTGCCACAACCCCGCGGCCGGTCCTCACTGAAGACGTAATCAGTGGTGGCTCTGTTGTCCCCTGAGCCCAGCTTTGCCCAGCACGGTGTCTGTCTGAGGCCAACACGGGCAAGTCAAGGATGGAGGTTTCAGTGTTTGGTGATGCTCTGCCCACAGCACACGCCTCACCTCCAGGCAGCCTGGGGACTCCACCCCCCAGACAACACGCAGGCGGAAAAATGTCTGCCGGTGTCCTAGCGCTGGGTGTCCCTAGCTGGAGCCCCGGGTCCCCAGAAACACGACATCGGGATTCCCTCCTACCCTTCTCGCCCACGTCGGGGAGGGCGGCGGGAGTCCGCGGTCCGCGGTGAGGCCAGAGGCGTTGTGATGCGACCCGCATGATCCCCGGACGCCTGCCAGGGTGTCCGCCGGGAAGAGCTTGTATCTGTTGGTTACATTTTCCATGGGTTCTAAGACGTAGGTTTTGTTTTCGAATATAATAAGTCCCCTGTTGGAAAAGAAATAAGAACAAAACATATACGTTTTAAGGGCAGCTCCTTGTTTGTGGCTGAGACCCAGTTAACAGGGCAGAGGCTGGGAGGGCAGATACCAGTTCATGTCTGTGCCCAGGTCCCACCGGAAAGGATGCTTTGTGACATACATTTGCATTGATTCGCTCCACAAATCTTTTGAAAAGTGAGTCTGAGACATTTTTTGTTTCAAATACTTTTGGGGAAAGAATCGATTATGTTTAGTCTTTATAGATATATTTATATTTTCACTTCTCAAATATATATTGCTTAGTAAAAGAGTTAAGAGAAAAAGCTGTTATATCAGCTTAGAAAATAACTAGCTGTACCTGAATCAGTCGACACACTGGATAGGAAAATCTTTTTTTTTTTTAATATTTTTTCTTTATTGCTTTTGAGAGAGAGAGAGAAACAGAAACATCGATGAGAGAGAACACTGATTAGCTGCCTCCTGCATGCCCCTCACTAGGGTTCGGGGACCACAACCTGGGCGTGTGTCCTGACTGGGAATCGAACCCTCGAACCTCTTGGTGCAGGGTCGATGCTCAACCCCTGAGCCACACCGGCCGGGCAGGAAATCTTTTCTTTTTAAAGGAAGAGTCCTGCACCTGGATCATTCATCCTAATCACCCATTATCCTAAATATTTCAGAGGACTCTGACATAAGGTTGAGCATAAACTTATAGTTTTTTTTTGTATTTTATTTATTTAATTTGTGGGAGGTGTGTGAATAAAGGCACTAGTGTCCGTGGACGAAGCGTAGAGATGCTTCCTGAAGGCCGAGCTCTGCCCTCTGGGTTCGTCTTGGCTAAAGGTGGACCGTTGTTTACAGGAGTGGACACCTTCGGGAGGTCCCAGCCCTGAGGCTGAGCACGTGGCCTCTGGAGTCCGACAGCCTGGTTCAGCTCAAGCTCTGCCACGTACTCGCTGAGTGACCTTGACCCCTTTGAGCCTCAGTTCCTTCATCTGGGAAATGGGATACTAACGCTCATTTCTCTGGGCTGCTATGTCATCTAGTTAAAACCCTCGGCCCAGTGGAGGCCACGAGCCAGTACGTGAACGGTAGTCGCCGTCTTGGTTACTGATGGGGCAGAGGCGTGGGTTTGGCCTGCGTTAGCGCGTTCATCCAAGAAGGTCCTAAAAGCCGTGTGAACACATCTGTGCGCGGCTGGCGTGCGTGGCTGGCGTGCGTGGCTCCCTGATGTGAAATGCAGCGTGGAGAAGGGAACCGCACTTCTGGGAGCAACAATAACCAAACGAAACCCCTCGAACTAACATGTCGGTTTGGGAATAAAACAATACATTCTTTTCAAAAAGGGACAAGTTTGCTAGACCTTCTAACTTGCAGAGACAGAGGTGGCATTAGGCCATGGGCCACAGTGCAGATGTGACCTCCTGGGGCAGGACAGAGCTGAGGCTGTGTCCCGCCCCCTGGACACGAGTGATGGCGAGTTCCTTCAAGTGACGGGGACGTGGGCCTGCAGGATGGCTTTGGTTTCTCTCTTTTCCCACGTGGGACAATCGCGTCCTTATTTACAAGGCTCTTGTTGATGAACAAAGGATTTCGTTGGAGAGACGGCGATTCGGGGAGCAGACCGGCCGCTCTCAGGCTCCTCCACGTCCACCAGCTTCTATGATTTAGCACCTCTCCCCATGACCGAAATGCGGAGTTTCATGCAAACTCCACCTGACTGTAAACAGACACTCCCAATGCAGACTTGTAGCCCACTGTGAGAGGTGACCCTCGCCCTTGCAGAATCATTCACGCACATGTGCATAATGCTTTGCAGATACGTCAGGAGAGTCAGGACTATGGATGAGGTCGAAGGGCTCTGGGTTTGGGGTGTTAGTGCTAATAATTCATGTGGCATCAACCCACAAATGTGAAGATAGCTTAATCCTTAAGAAACAGTTTAAAATGCAGGGCGCTCTGTGGCTTCCCTCCGACGATCTGAACGTGTTTGCAAAGGAGTGACCTTGTGTGTCATTCACTGTTGCTCATTTATTTCAGTCATTCACTGGTCCTCTGCTCCCTGATGACCCATCTATAGGTGACTATTTAATCATTCTTAAATTAGAACAGGATGGCAGCATTTCACTCCTCAAATACAGTCTCGTTTATCGCCGTTAATCCGTTCCAGACCCTACCGGTTGCACCTGGCGTCGAAGGATTCCCGGGGTGCTCCAATGCATAGGCCACAGTCCACGTAATTTTAATTGTAACGGTAACACAGGGGTACAGACAACCAAGTGCGCTCTGTATCATTTTCACTGTCTTGATCAACTTTTCAATGAATATATTTGAAAAAAACTGCGATAGAGTGAAGCCACGAAAGTCGAAGCGTGAAGTGGCGAGGGACGACTGTGTACGGAAGGCAGAGGTTCAAAGCAGTCAAGTTGTTATTTTGAGCATAATGGGTGCTCACACACGCACGGATCAATTCCTTATTATTCGACTGGTCTACTCTGCCAGTCCTGGTTTCTTGTTTAAATTGATTTTAGAGAGAGGGAAGAGAGAGAGAGAGAGAGAGAGAGAGAGAGAGAGAGAGAGAGAGAGATCAGTTGCCTCCTGTAGCGCCCTGACCAGGGATCCAATCTGCAGCCTGGGTATGGGCCCTGACGGGAAATCGAACCCACTACCTTTCGATGTATGGGACAATGCTCCAGCCAGCTGAGCCACACAGGCCAGGCCCGGCCACTCCTGTTTGTGAAGTGGTAGAAACAGACTGTGCCAGCCTAACGGAGAGGTCATGGGTAATGAGAGACATCGGACAGCCAGGCTGGGCGTCATCAGCACGCACAGGACTTGACCGTGGGGAGACGGGAACCGATGCGATCTGCAGTCCCGGAGGAACTGTCAGCTCTCTTCAAACCACAGGCGGATTAAAATCAATGTGGCTGCTGTCCCGTGCTCCCTGCTCCCATCATACCCAGCTGGTGTCTTCGGGAACTTCCAGGAAGATCCGAAAGACGGCATCGTCACCGTCTCTGCGGGGAAGTCGGCAGTCCCTCTCCTTGAAAAGTCCTTGATGAAATAAAACTCACATTTCTAGTTCAGAAGGACTCATAGGGGATTTTCGTTGATTAAAGTTTTTTTTTTTAAATCCTCACCCAAGGATATTTTTCCATTGATATTTTTAGATAGAATGGGAGGGAGGAAGGTGGGAAGAGAGACAGAGAGAGAGAGAGGGAGAGAGAGAGACACATCAATGAGAGAGAGACACATCGATTGGTTGCCTCCCGACTCTGGGCCAGGGATCAAACCTGAAACCCAGGTACGTGCCCTTGACCGGGAATCAAACCCTTGACTCTTTGGTTCTCAGCCTGATGCTCTAACCACTGAACAGACTAGCCAGGGCTAAAGTTGATTTTTTTTTAAATATTTTTTTTCATTATTGATTTTAGAAAGAGAAGAAGAGAGAGAGAGAGGGAGAAACATCGATGAGCGAGGACATCGACTGGCCGCCTCCTGCACGCCCTCCACCGGGGATCAGGCTCACAACCTGGGCATGTGCCCTGACCGGAATGGAACAGGTGACCTCTTGGCGCATGGGTGGGTGCTCAACCACTGAGCCACACCGGCTGGGCTAAAGCTGATTTTAACAAGCCTAAATTGAGAAAGAGAACTTTGAAAACAGGCCGGGAAAAGTAGGAAACAAATGCGCTCGAAGGGAAAAAGCATCTGAATCTGCTAGAAAGCGAACTCTCATGCGGAGAAAACAGCGCTAACATTCACTGTGCATTAGAACATTTTCTACTTTTCACTGGGTTTCAATACGCTGAACACTTACAGTAAAACATGTCACCAAAGTCCAATCAAGAGGAGCAAACTACTGAAAAAGTTCTTCTACTTAATGGAAAATTTCTAGAAATCGTTACTTAGTCATAAAAATGTTCTCATACCTCCTTTTATCTTTTAAGTCATCCAAAGGCCAGATGTTGAGAAACGGGGGTGAAGGTTTTCCCTTTGCTGCAAACCACTGGCAGCCTGTAACACAGCTTAATTAAATAATTGCTTTGGACTGTCTTGAGTATAATTAATCATTTAGCTCTAGAGATTGCTAGAAACCACAAGACTCAAGGAGCCAGGGATTTGGAGATGTAACATTTTGATGTTCTCACAGCCTGCACTGGCCCTGAACTAGATAAGCGAATGTAATTTAGGTTGAATGTCAGAGATACTTAGTTACAGACTTGGAGTTGGAAGTAGCTCCGAGGATGGAATTTAAACCCAGCAGACTTGGAAAGTAAGGTTCTTTCCCCCTTGGTAGAGTAGGCGGAGAGAGGTTAGAGAACAGCTTGGGAAATGTTTGGGAAAGATGAACACTCTGAGTACCTTCTCCAGGGGGAGGGGAGGAGGTCGGATCTGTCGCCATGGGGAGGGGTGAGGCCACGTTCTGGGCCAGTGAGCTGGACACGGTGAGTGGAGAGAGCAGAGAAGGGGGGTGTTGGGGTGATGACCCCCCTCTCTGGCACCCTGCCTAGATCCAGGCTCCGGGCTGAGCCCATTCCACTATTATTGCCCAGTAGATTCCCGCATGCTGTGGCTCTGGGCATGACCCCCACTGTCATGGGCATGCAGGTGGCATGAGGCGAGCTGTGCCGCAGTCTGGGTCCCCCCACTCTCCTGCCTCCCTCAGCGCTATTTGAAGAGGGTTGTGGGGCTCAGATCAAGGACAATATGACAGAGGCAGACGTCAAAAGGAAAGGGGCCAGAGAAAGAGCGGCTGCTTTGAAAACGGGTGGCCTTAACTTAAATTTTAAAATCCTGTTGTTTTTCCTTCAGCGCAAGAGAAGAGGACTCTGTTCGAATCTTGAGTTGATTTTGTTAGCTTTCGGACTGGACACTCAGGGGACCCGTCTCTCTTCCGGATACGTTGCTGTCCTTAAAGCTCAGTCGTTAATCTCTGAGGCCACACTGCAGCTTACTGTCCTGGCTATGGTTTTTCTGACCCCCGCCAGGCGCGTCGGACTGTGA